GCTTTGTTTGGATTGAGCTTTATTTCTCAAAATTTATTTGCTTACATCATCATTACAATTTCCAATACACCTTTTTACTTTCCCAATTACCTTTTTATCTCACATACATCACATCACAAAAAATGCTACAGTAAAAATATCTCTAATAATTCACAATCCAAACAGACCCAGTTGATTGGCCAACACCGGTCAACTAATGGCAAGGGTGTGTTTATTATTAAGCTGTGAGATTTAGGGATCTTTTCGTAGTTTGACTTAACCTGAGGGTTTGATATGTAGTTTGGTCAAACCTCAGGGAAGATAAATGTAATTATCCCACTTTTTTTTTGTTATTTGTTGTAGTCAACACGAAAAGTCAACCTTAACACCTAAAAGTCAACCTTTCTTAATGCATTAATCTAGAATTACCTATCTGCCCTGTAAACTCTTCTGTGCATAACTTTGAATTGGCCAGCACTTTAGTCTTGGGGTGAAAGTAAAATACTACAAGAATTGGTGGGCAAGCCTTAAAATTTATTTGATTTGTTACAGTTACACGAGTGACGTTCATAAAATACCCCTATTTAGTTGAAGAATTAGGAGTCAGATCGATTTTAGGTAATGGCACCACCCTACAAGCCTTAATTGGAACTACAAAATAAGTTCGCGTATGAAATTAGTTAGGAATAAAAGTTAGGGACCACATCAGCACTAGTGAAAAAGTTTAGGGGCGAAATTGGTCATTTTTCCCCACCATTCCCATTGCATTCCGTCAAACATACAGATTTATTTAGTTTTAGTTTTAGTTTAATCAAAATGTACAATTACAATGGACCGAAGAACTAAAGACTAGAAAACAAGAGAAAAAAAAAAGATTGAGTAGTTTTTCACAGTCAAAGGCCTTAAGATAGATATTTTGCTTAATGAACTCAATTTATTATCTGTTTTAGGAGCCATTTAGAGTTGCAGTAATTTATTAAAAAGAATTTCTATTAATAGAGCTTTTAATAAAAGCAATTATTAAGTGATTTTAAGTATATTATTTTGATACATAATTCAATAAGTACTTATTGTATTCGATAATAAATAATTTTAAATTATATTTATCTCTTTATTTAGTTCATAATATAAAATAAAAAAATTAAATTTAGGGATAATATCAGAAACCTCTTCTCCTAATATCACAGATGAAAGAGGAGAATCGATAGAAGGCTACAGAGCCGCAAGCTAAAATTTTTGCAGTCGTCTTTTGCCAATTAGATGCAGGAAGGGAAATTTTTTTTTTTTTTTGAGAAACACCCCCAGTGAGCTATATTTGACAGATTGTTTTTTTTTTTCACCTATATTCTGAGAAATTAGCCCAAGTTTGATCTTCAACATGTAGAGGTAGTGTGAAGGAAGGAGTAAACATTAACACCTTGCCAGCTTCTGCTGTAAACATCCGGCCAGTTTTGCCCCATCATAAATAATGTCACCGTAGTGACGAATTCGGAACACTTTATAATCATCCTTAGATTCATTCATCAAAGCCAAACCCATATCCTACAAGAATCGAGCCAGGACGCTCCAAGTTCGGCGGACTTTCTAATTGCTGGATTCCACAAGAAAATATCTCTGTCTGCTGCAACACGTATCAATCCATTAGAAGAACCCACGATCTGAAAATTATACTGACTCCTAATTCGGCTTTTGCATCGAAAGGGATATTGAATGCCGGCTGCCTCGGTGATAGGAGCATATAGTACAGGGCGTAGAGATAATTGTCATGCATGTACCTAGGGTGAACATGAAAAATCAGTCTATGGTGATTGTAATCGTTGTTATTGGAAGATTTGTTGAGATGGGCACGGATGAATTGTGGGCTCGAGATGAAGGAAAGCCATGATTTCGAAATGCAGCAGTTTGACAGACCTAATTAATTAAAGCTGATTTCCCACTAAATTGGAGGCAAACTCTGAGGTATCCGATGGTCTGATTTTTTAAGATTAAGATTTTTTCTTAGTTCAAAGGTAACCCAAAGAACTGAAATTCTTTGACTAATAAATCTCCCCATAAAATAGAAATTATGAAAAACTTGGAGATAAAGTATAGATAATACTCAGAGAAATTTTCATCATTTTGATAATTTGATTAGATGCAGCTGCAAAACCAAGGATCATATCTTCGAAGGGCTTCAAAGAAGGTAGTTTATACTCAGGTGAACTACCAAACAAACTCTCAATTACAAACACTTACTATAGTGAGCATGTAATGACAGGCTTATTGGGAAGCATTGCAATTTGAAATTTCCCAACTGGCAAATGTTAAAAAACAGTTTCTTTCAAGAAGATAATGTGAAAAAACAGTTCAACAAATCGACAAGCATTTTCCAATTTTTTTTTTTTTTTTTGAAATTCCAAAACAATGTCCGTAAGGATTACTAACTTCAGCCAAGAAAAGAAAAGCTTTAGTATTGCATGCAAAAGAAAATGAAAGATTGAAAATAAAATTTTTTTTTTAAAAGAGAGGTTACTGATATGATTGTGCCTAACAATTTGTTTAGAAACCACAATAATCAGTCCAAAGTTGTGGAAACCTTGAAATTAAGCCAAGCTTCATTGTTTGCATATGATAAGATGAGTGGCATACGAATCCTTAATCTGATATAAAAATTTATAGACCTCTTAAAGCAATATTGCATTTTCCCATTAGTGCAGAATTTTTTTCTTTTTTTAAGGAAACCGCTATAGGTAGTTGATGTTAAATGTTAAAACTTAGAGTTAGAGTTACAAAAAATTAATGACCGAATCCTCTAAAATAATATATATAACTTAAGCTACTGTTTGGTTTTACGGTTCCTCTTTTTCAAACGGGAGAATCGTGGGATTTAAAAAGCGAGAAGGAAGAATGAGAGATTTGAATCCAAGATTTCTAACTTTTCGAGTAGTTTTATGGATCATCAAGATATGGTCTTCTAATAAGATGTTGGGATGCTATTAATTCTCCAAACTCAGTACACCATACAGAAGGCGGCATGGGAAATAGGCAGTTTCACATCTATTATTAACATTGGATAATGAACAAGCAATAATCCGATTTTGAGATGAAATACTATATTCAAAATCTCATTAACTTTCAACTGCAGTAAAATATCTTACTGTTTTCTTTGCCGCAAAAATACAAAAAGCAAATTAAATGTGTTACCACAAAGGCAAAACCAAAAAGCATATCTTAGAAGTTAATTTAATTTATAGAACACTAGGCTTGACAAGAACAAAAAATTGCATTTACTGTTGTTGTCTATAATTGAAGAGCCAAGAACGAAAGCCTTCCATGTGATTTTAACCCCTAGAGTTAACTACACAACTTAATCAGCACCATTTCTCCTTTTCTGTAGCAAAACATTTGTCCAACTTGACCACAGATTCAAGTTTGATCTTCAACCTGTACAGGTAATGTGAAGCAGTAAACATTTACACCTAGCTAGCCTGTGCTCTTCTTCTGTTTCATGCCTTAAGACTTTTATACTCTGCCACGGTTGTTGAGCAAAACTAAGCTTTCATCATACGAAACCACTTTCTCAGATTAATCTTCCAGATTGTTAATGCAAGAATATGCTAGGGATTCATGTTTCGGATTGTAAAGTGCCAACCACCTCTTAAACATGCTCAAAATTAGGCCGTCCCTTGACTCAAATAATGGTTTATTATAGGGTGATGCAGGATCATAAGACAATCCAGTAACCAAAGATGTATAGTGACAAAACACAGAACGACATCCTCCTATAACCAATAACGTCATCTTTTGGCTGTTCCACCTCTTCATAGATCTCATTCGTCAAATCAAGGCTAGCAATCTTCCCCATTATAAGAAATATTTCCCATTTTTTCCTACGGAGCTTCCAACTAACATAATAAATCTCCCCAGTAGGACGACAGTCCCACGAATCCTCAATAATCTTCCAAGAACTTGTGTTTCTACTATAAACATCAAGCTAAGCGCGCCCCTTCGTGATGTTACCATGAGAGCAACTCCAATGACGTGTCATGGATACAGATCCATTATATACATCATTAGAATGATGCCCGTAAAAGCCGCTGACAAAGAGGAGATAGTGGGCCTTTTTTTTGCAACGGATAAATTTGGTTAAACATAGACAACGGACAAAATTTCATGGTGCAAGTTAACATTCAATTTTTTTTCCAACCGTCATTGTTTTGTTCTCTTTATATAAACACACAGGACACCCATTTTTTTTCATATTTCAATATCCTACTCTATTATTTCTCTTACTCTTTCACTCATTTTCCTCAACCTCTTTGCACAATTTTCTAAAATTTCAATATTTTGTGATTATGGATGAGAATTTTAGTAGTTTTAGAAATATGTTAAATGCTCCAAATATAGAAAATTCATCCTCCTCACAAAATCAAAACCACCAAAATTTCCCAAATTTCTCATTTTCTGGTATTCCTACAAATGTGCAAAATTAATAATATTATTTTTTAAAAAATAAAAAATCCAAAAGGTAAAAAATTTAATGAAAGTTTAATAATTTATTTTTAAAAATAATGAAATTATTTTTTAAAAAATTACTTTATTTATTTACGGGATATGAGTTATGCATTATTAAAATAAATATTTTATTTGATTGTGGATCATACTATTATAGCGTGTAGAGTGTAATTTATTGTGAATAAGAATATAATGAAAGATGAGATAGTGGAATGTTGATATAGCACCATGAATGCTTTAATGACGAATTTGGAACACTTTATAATCATCCTGTAGTGACTCTAGAAATAAATTATTCAGACATAGTTGAAAAAATGTGGAAATCAAGGCTGTAAATTGAAATTAAAAAAAGTTTATGAGACCATTTGTAGTTATTTAAAACACTAAAGGGCCAACAGAAAAGTAACAGAAAAGTTTTGGGCATGATTGTAAGTTTATCGCTTTTATGCCCCTTTTTAAGAGCAACTTCCAGTTTCCACTTTACTTTCTTTCTCGTCGCCGTCCTCAAGTTCCGATGCAGGCCACGTTCGTTTCTTTCTTTCTATATTTTTTTTCTTTATTCTACTGAAAAAACAGAAGAAAAGTTTCTTTATTTTTTCTTTTTGGGTAAGTAGAAGAAAAGTCTCTTTACTCTCTTCTTTCTTTCTTTTCCTCCTCATTTGTTGTTTCGTTGAAACTTGAAACCTCTTCTCTCTCAAAGTAGTAATCTAAATTGGAAAAGTATAATATATTCTGTACTACCCGTCTAGTCTGCCTATCGCACAATTGAGGAAGAAGAAGAAGAAGCCTTTTTAAAGGTTCCAGACTGCAGGCTCCCAGGTACTTTAATGTTCTTCCAACAAGTTTAAATTTCTTCTTGGTTCATTGATCGCTCAGACATTTACTAGTTGTGAATATAACTATAAAACAAAAACCCAAAAAATAAAAGTTGACTTTTTTTTTTCTTTTGAAATGGTTGAGTTTTGTATGCAACTGTTCTTTGACCTTGAAGTAAATCTTGATTTGCAATGTGGGATTTTATTAATCAGCAGTATAGTGGATTGTCTTGGTTTGTTTTAAGCATATAAAAGTTTTATCTTTGAAGATTTGATTGCTAATGTTTTCTTGGCTAATTGGAAGAGTTGTTGCTGTAGTTAAGAATGCCAGCTCAAAGAAAACCCGAGGAAATTGTCCCAATACTACTGGCTCGTCTGGAAAAAGCTAAGCAATTTGTAGTAGGGCGTATCAGCGAGAACAGTGAGGCAGACCCTCTAGTTTTGAAATTCAAAGAAATCGAGATTGAACTTGGCAGCATGAAACGTTTGTTCCCCAGGATAAAACATTGGGAAGGGAAACTCATGGAACAGTTCAGAACTTTGGAGCAAGACATTGATGATGATGTTTTCTTTAAACAGCATGACGAGGCTAATGAGATTCTTAATAGATTGGAGCGCATCAGTGAGAGTGTTGTGTCTGTAAAACAGCTATTTTCTGCAGTGGAAAGGCAGCTGATGGATAGAACACGTACGATGCCTTCTTCTGGGATGCAATTCCCTTCTGAGGAGGCTGTTAGGAAGGATCAGACAATGTCTGAAGAGTGGTCGAGACTTGGTGTGGAGGAAAAAATTTATGCCAGCGAAGCAATATCAAATTTTCAGAAAAGTTTTGACTGTCGGGAGAGCTATCAATTGAAAGCATGCTCCTTGTGCCTTTCAATTTTCCCTGAGAATAGCATCATAAAGAAGAGACCCCTTATTTACTGGTGGATAGGAGAGGGTATGGTCACTAAAACCTCAGAAAAGACTGCAGAGGAGGTTGGAGAAGATGTCTTTAATGAATTGATAAATGAAAGCTTCATAATCCCCAAATTTGAGAACCTTTCTCCCAATATAAACACTTTTATTGTGCACCCTTGGATTCGAAGAATGCTGATCTCGGTTGCAAAAAGACTTAGCTTTTTTGAATTTACTTTTGAATTTACTCCCTCAGGGACGCCTAGCAATGGTCATCGTCGCGCATTCTTATTGGCGGGTGGTAGTGATTCATACAGCACAATGACCGAGGATACTATTATGGTTTTCAATGTAAATGATCAATATCTTGGATTTAAACCTGACTGGCTCTCGAAGTTGAATAGGGTTGAGGTTCTTCAGTTGGGCCGGTGGCAAAACTCTGTCAAACATCATATTGAAGTGGAAAATAAAGATTTGACAGTTGAGTCGAAGAAGAAAAAGAAGGTGGAATATTAAGTCTCTTTGAATGGTTTGGGAAGTCAGACATCCCTAAGATATCTAAGCCTCAGAGCCGTTTCTAGATTGACTAACCTACCTCATTCGGTGCTTAACCTAATAAGCCTTGAGATCCTTGATTTACGCGATGTCACAATCTAGAGAAACTGCCTTCTGATATATCAGCACTGAGGAACCTTACTCATTTGGATTTATCAGAATGTTACCTGCTCGAAAGCATGCCAAAGGGTATTGAAGAGCTCTCTGCTCTTCAAGTACTCAAGGGCTTTGTGATAGGAATCGTCAGAAGAAATCCATGCAGGGTAAGTGACCTTGCTCAGTTGAAAGGTTTAAGGAAATTGAGCATAAGAATAGGGAATGAAGCTTTAGCAGAAGGGGAGTTTTCAAACTTGAAGGACTTCAAGGCTCTTCAAATTCTTGTGATATCTTGGGAAATAGTTTTGTCGCAGTCGAGTACAGAAGCTGCTCTGAGGTCATTCTCAGTCCCACCAAATCTAAAGAAACTTGATCTCAGATGTATCCCTCTAGTGACCTGGCCTGAATGGTTAGAGCCTGGCAGATTGATATCTTTGGAAAAACTTTACATCAGGGGAGGTGAACTCAGCAGCATAGAGCGCCATGATGAAAAAAGTTGGAAAGTTAAAATTTTACGTTTGAAGTATCTGAAGAACTTGAAAATTGACGAGCCAGAATTATGATTAATGTTTCCTGAGATGGAGTACTTGGAGAAAGTCAAATGCAACAAGATTGGTCGAGATGAATATGATCCAGATATCACATGGAACAAAAAGCAGCATGAGCAATTGTAGCAACTACTTGAGTGAGTTTTGCTGCAACTTTTTCGTTTGCTATTCATTTTTAATTGCTCCTGATTTCTCCTATATTCCTCCAGCTCCTGTTTTTAAAGCAAGTTATATTACTCAATTTCTAAGAATCAATTGCTTATGCTGTTTCCGACCATGATTGAGTGTTCTAGAGTCGGTAATATGTGAATCTCTTTTTATTTTTCCCTACAATCCTTGTAAGATTTTTTGTTGTTAATATTTTGAGCATATTATTGCCAGAAGAAGTTTCTGAAATTTTTTTGTTAGTGTTGAAATCTCATGTTTCAGTCTGAATTAAAATTTCTCTTCCTACTCCACCTGTCAAAGCAAGGTACTTCTCCTTTCAATTTTTAGGTAGTGTACCCTCAGAACTGATGAATAGTGGAAAGACATAATCTGCGGAAAAGAATATGTGATATAACTGTTATTCTTATTTTGGCAAGACAAAGTCCAACCTGCATGGTCAAGGGAGTTGGAGAAAGAGAAAGTGCTGCTTGGATAATCCTTCTGCTTTAAATTTGTAAGGTGAAAAAATTGGTATTCATGTGGTTTCAGCTTGCCTCTTTGATCCAAGCAATTTTGAGTGCAGATTGAAAATAAAAATGGGATAAAGTAGAATTAAACAAAAAACTAATGAATCATTTGATGCTCATATTTGCAATTGAAATATTTTTCTCTGTTGTGGGAAAATTGGATTATTGTCTTTTGTATTTAAGGATAATTTCTCTTGTCCATGAGATCAACATGGTGCTGCCTGCTGTTCATGTCTTTACATTTTATAGATGCAATATCCTGAGATAAGCTATCCAATGGTGCCTTCCAGCTCATCATAGGCATTTCCTTCCTTTTCTTATACTCATCTGCCCCAAACTACAGTCTCGAGTATCATTTACAACATATTCTAGACCTTTTCCAGTTTCCATTCCTTTCATGAGAGCCAATAGATTAGCATGCTCTTCTCTTGATTAGATTAACTAGGAAACTGAACTAAAAGTCTTAATTGAAGAACAGCAATTAGATCCTTATTTGGTTGCATAAAGGGTCAATGGCCAAATTCCCAATGAAGCTAGTCAGTGATCTTGACAATTGTCTTGAATCAGGCCCCAAAAACTTGAGTTATATTCTTCAGAGTGCTGCCAAGCTTGTGAATTCCTATGGTTACTTTAATCAAAGAGATTGTGGCAGTAATTATTTGCTTAAGTGTCTAAAATACATGCGATTTTGTCTTCACTAAATTATCAATACTGTTTATTTTTATTTTTACTGAGTGCCACAACTTTGTGAAAATTAAAAAGGAAATTTCTAAAAGATCAATAATCTTATAGAACCATCTGTGGGCATTTTCATCAATTCCATGCATTAAATCAGTAGGAGTACTTGGTTAGTAAATTCTGGCAATAAATAATAATCTCTCTCTTTAAAAGCTATAATTATCACTGTGTACTTAATATGGAGATGTGAACAGAGCTGATTTATTAAATTTGTAATGTTCTGCTACCTGATTGTGAAGAACAACTAGAAAAAGAGAATTGCGAATTTTCTGTTGGTTATAAAACTATTGAGCATCTCTTTTGTAACACGACGCTGGATTGGATTAGTTTTGTTGATAGACTTGACATGCATAATAGGCCAACAATCTGACATGGCAAAATCCAGGATCAGCCAGAGAGAAAATTTCTGATACAGTTATACAAGTCTTCCTGTAATGACATCTGACAACGAGGGAGAAAGTTGAAAAAAAAAAAAAAGACGAAAAACAAGTATACAACAGAAGTTATCATTCACCAAGTGTTTCACCTTTCTTATTAAATATCTTATGCACAACTTTTTGAGTAATTTAAGTAGTATGAGTGAGAAAACATTACACTTTGCAATGTGAATTAGCAATATCATGAATTTACTGCCTCTCAAGATTGCATAGGGTCCAAGTGCTGCATTTGGGATGATGGCAGACCTCTGCTGAGCATCGTGTTGAAGTAGAAAATGAAGATTTGATAGTTGAGTAAGAAGAAAAAGAAGCGCAATATAAAGTGCATTAAATGATTTTGGGAACTCTTAAGTGTCTAAATAAGCCTCTGAGGTGTTTGTAGAATAACCACACATCTTCAGTTCCATTGTTTGAATGGAATATTAATAATCAGGAATTTGATTACCATCCTAAGCATTCTGATATGAAATTGTCACCTATTGTTCGTTCATGCTATTTCCTTATTCTATGTGCTACCTCTGATAAAGCTTTTGAAGTTGTTAAGGCTACTTCAACAGAATACGGGGATTGTCTGGTTTGTGTCCTAATTTGCAGTGTTTTCCTGGCTGGTGTAGAGGAGGGAAGGAGCATGCAGCTGCATGAGTGTTTTTATGCCTCTTGGACAGTTGCTTGTGACTTGTCTAGGACTTCCAATTATCTCTTCAGGCTGTCTTTTACTGATTGGATGGTTATGATAGCAAAATAAGATAATAGATTTGGTCTGTCGAGGCACTGATTATGAGGTATCCCACATCGGTGGTGGGAAAAGGAAAGGAAAGGTATAAGAACTTGGGTCCTTGGGCTATTAGGCAATGTGGGTTAATAATTTTGAGCCAGTGGATTTCGGTCCAAAAATTACTTGGGCCAGCCCTTGGACCCTGGTCATGACAGATTATGTGGGCAGACTTCAGCTCATTAAATGTGTTCAAAATATTGTTTTGTATTGGACTATGGTGTTTGTGCTTCCAAAGTAAGTGTTTAAGAAATTAGATAGTCTATCAGCAGCCTTTTCTTGTCTTCTGGTGAGGAAAGAAATTACTATGGTGCTGAAATTAGTTGGTCTGACATCTATTAACCAGTGAGCAACGGAACCTTGGGACTGACTAAACTTGACCTCTGGATATAATTTCTTTCTAGTGAGCAATGGGGCCTGGGACTCACTAAACTTGGCCGCTGGAAATAATTTCTTATTCTGACCACGTTTGGAATATCTCTGCATAAAAGGATAGCCTAGTCAACGGGGAATGTTGGTACACCAAATACACAAAACCATAGCTAGCTTTTATAGCTTCTTTTTGGCATCTGTTGATTCTTATCCAATGCTTTGGGTTTTTAGCTGTCAATGATTCCCCATTTTGTATGTGAATGATGCATCTATTATCTAATTCGACCACAAAGCCAATTAAGATTTGTCTATGTTGCAGGTCTCAAACTGCTCCAGACTCTCCATGCGCTAAGTGTTTGCATGGTGTAATTTGAGGCAAAGTTTGACGCGATGCCCATTTAATGCTGTGATTGATCTTGTTCATGGCTTGCTCCCAGTGGTGACTCAGATCAGGGGAAAAAAGCTTTATGTTTTATGGATCCATTTTCCGGGCTTTTCAATTTTCCTTTTGCATTAGAATTTCTCTACTGTTGCAGGCTCCTGGAAGTTAACCATATCTGGAAGTGAATGCAATTGCAGCTGCCTAATCTGCCTTGTAGTTTGTAATAGGCTATTTATGAAAAAGTATGAGGCCTGATTTAACTGTATATTTGCATTATTTACCTGAGACAATGTGGAATTTGACATTCATCAATCATCTTGATCAGACTTGCATCACAAACTTTTGGTGACTTTGTCTGATGCTCTCTGATATCTGGACAGCAAAGGCAGGGACGGACGGACCGATGGATTCTAGTTTTTTTTTTTTTTTTTTTCTTAATTTGGAGGTTTTTTTTTTGGGGGTGGGGTGGGGAATATAGGTTCAGTGGAGTTGAAGAGAGTTAATGCTTGAACAAGGTTTAATGGAGTTGGAGAAGTTCACAGACAAAAGACATTAGTTATGAGGTTGGTGACTTGGGCGCGATAAAGGTCAGTTGCTTATGGCCCTTATGGGGTTAGCGTCTAGTATAAATAAAGTAGTTGATTGAATTTCCTTTGTCTGTCTTTCTGTCTCCTATTTGTATAGCATTTCTTTAAAATTTCCTCCTTTGTCTGTCTTTTTGTCTCCTATTTGTATAAAGTTGTCTATGGCCCTTATGTCGTTTTTTGTGGTATGATCCTCGCACCCTTGATGCCCTTCTACTGGATGTTTATGTTTATGGTTGGGGCATTATTAATCCGTTAGACAGTTTGCAAGTAATTTGACGGCTAAAATTTCCTCTGCATCTATCATTCAGATTGGGAATTGGCAATGGTCTCTAGGTAGGCAGAGGACCACTCAGGTGGAGAGTTTGATTCAAGTTATGCTTGCTAATATAATTCCTGTGCTATCTGAACCTGATTCTCATAGATGGAAATGTGATGCTTCTGGAGACTTTACAACTCAATCATCAACTCAATTGCTAAGGGATCATTGCAATTGAATTGATGCCCAAATGTTGAGAGTCCTTGCAAGTTTCTTGAATAAGCAATTTGACCTCTGTTAACCATCTGTCTCAAAATCAATCACCTTGAATTAACAGTGCAAACTTCCATTATCAGACACCATGAAGGTAGCTAATGTCACACAAACTCTCAAAAATATTAAGCTTTTCAAATTTGCCATTCAAATTCCATCTTGCACAAACTTGGTTTTCCGAACAACACTGTAGCCTAAGCTGCTTCTTAGCTGTCGACTCGCTCAATTTTGGAGATAATTAGCCTACTGGAGAAGTTATTGAAATGTTCCAGTTCTTTAATTTGATGATTCTGTCTTGACCAACATTACAGAATTTTAATGTTTGAAGACAAGACAGTTACCCTATCTTCGACGGCATTTTAAATTTATACACAACTGCACAAAAATCAAATTGCTCTCTGGCTTATCAAAATCCTGAATTGATCTCAAAGATCTAGCAGAGATTAGCACAGGGACTAGAGAGTATTACTCCTTAATTCTCAAAGTCTCTTAGTTGTAAAGGTTGAGAATAGAGATTGCGAAAATTGTGAGTGTAGTACTAGATAGATCAAGACAAAGCATATCTATCAGCCTGCTAATTGAGGTTGGCAACTGCATAGCATGAAGAGCACTGGTCTCCAAAAACAAATTTTTTGTACATGTCTTGTATTGACATTTCTAATCGTCCATGGCATTTCTGTAAATGATTAATATGCAATACAACAAATCTCATAAAATTTTTTGGCACCAGATTATCCACTTAAAATAGGTTGTGCAAGATCATTTACAAGATCATACACTTTACAACGTGTGATGTTGTAATACTCGTCCACTTTGACATCTAATAACAATGTACTCTTCAGCACAATTTCACAGAAAAGGTATAGACATCATGAGAATAATATACAGAATTGGAGACAGCATTATCGAACATACAGAATTGAAGAAATCATAAATACAGGTGTAGACTAGAGTTTCCATAGACTATGATCAATCTCAAAGTGAGAAATCTGGAAATCTTGCACCAGTCAGAGTCAGGGTTGCTGCTCTTGTTGGAGCATCATCCGTTTAGATCAAAAGATACACATTCTATAGGGAGGCTTCTATTTGATTGGCGGGGAGGTTACTACTCAAGTTTTTCACATATTCCAACTTCAAATCCTTCAACAAGTGAAAGCTTCTCACTTCGACCTTGGCTATATCTCTGTAAGAGGGCTGACGAGCCTCATTCGCAGCATTTGTCATCTGAATGGAGACAAATTTAGTTTCTAACATGCTATAAGGCAATTTGATCACCACTAGTTTAAGTGCAATGGCAACCAAACTCCAGATAATGGAAATAGTAGATCCATGAAGTATATGGATGATTATGAGAGGGAGGACATACCATGACTTAAAAATCCAACCTGTAGCTTTCCTATGTATTGGCTTATCCATAGCTCTGTTCTTTACCTAGTAAAGATTGAGTGAAGAACTCACAACTTTAGGCAAGTTTAGAATAAATGGCAACTAACAAAGACCTTGCTGATTCTATCAATTATGAAAGTTTGAAGAAAGGATAAAGTAATCAGCAGAAGTGATGAAAATTAGGTATGTCTTCTTCAATCAGAACATTTTCATCACAAAAATGTACCTTGTGCATGAGCATCCCTGTAGCAAGCCTGAATCGTCTTTGATGCAGCTTCATGGAGAGCTTGATCCTCAAGAAAATCTATCACTGTCAGCCTCATATATTCCAAATCATAATATTTTGAGGTGGTTCATATCTCCTTGTTTTATATATTTATTTCTATTTTCTTTTCTAATTTCATTATATTTTACAAAAGGTATTTGACTTTGCCTATTCAACATACTTGAGATTCTTGCAGAGCAAAAATAACTTACCAAAATTTTTCACGAAAGGTTCCCCTTATAAGGCATAAACACGCTGTTTCACCAGAAGACTGCCATCCACATGGATTCTACTACTAACAAGATTGACCCTTAGCTCAGAAATTCACTTCCTGCTTGAATTTTATCCATCAGATTTCGATGTATACTCTATGCATCAAACTTCTCCTCTCCTGTACAAAAATTTGATATTCTCCACAGTTCCATTACCTAGTCATTTCAAGGACTCAAAATGACAAATATTTCATAATAAGCTGGAGAACTTTATGCAACATTAAGATGCGCAAAGGGAGAGTACTAACCATGGCATGTTTTCCATCAGCCATCTGATAGCCCTGAATGAGAGCGTCTGCCCCATCGCCAGATTGAGAGAACAGCTTATGCTCATAGCTTTTCATACATCAGAAATTTGAGAACACCTCGTCAGACCATTCATCCAATTTCTAGCCGTCAAACAGCTGTATGACAAAGCAGAATTGCATTATAGAATTAACAACATAAAAGAATGCGATCTCCCTATAATATTGTTCAACAGGCACATAATTTATTATGGGATAAGACCTAAATCCACAACTAAGAGATGAACCACCTAAAATATTATGGTTTGCTAACTAAGAGATGAACCACCTCAAATAAAGCAGATTGCCTATTATTACCCCATGTAGCTCTATTTGGAAGATATATCAAAGGAATTGCTTCATGGCACGGCTTGACTATTCAACCATCGGACAAGCATCAGTATTTCTTGATATCTAAGGGATTAATAACCGAAAAAGTTGCCAAAGAGGAATACAAAAAGTGGTGCCTTTTTTTGGTTTTTTGGGGGGGTTCTATAGTGGGCTTTTTAAAAGAAGTAATCCGGATGTTTGAGAATTTGATTATCCAGATCCACGTAAGTTTAGTTCTTACCTCCTGCATGAGAATCCCAGTAGCCAGCCAGAGGAATCTTTGTTGCAGCATCTTGGAGAGCTCTAAGACTCAGAGAAAATCTATTACACCCTCAGCCTTTAATAACATACCATAGGTTTTTACCAATGGCTCATTCTACACTCTCAAACTAGACATAGTATTGCCTACAATACAAGAAAAGATGCCATCAGATCAGAACTGCACAGCAATGGAATATAGCAAATGGAAAAGTGTCAAAAGTCATCCTGAATTGTACCTAAACCTTCTCTATATAATGAAGGAGAATGAGTTCCCTTCGAAAGTGCCCTGCTGGATCCATTTTAAGTAAATAAGCCCCTCACCAAGCATACAGCCCCTCTTTTTGGCAAGTCCAAGAATGTGCAGGTATTTATCTGTGTCACCATATAAAAGGAAACGATGGTAGCTGAAGACTTTTGTCCCAATATTTCTGTAACCATATAAAGAAAAGCTCATACATGGAAAAATAAAAGATAAAAACAGACACACAAAAAAAGATGGTTATCAAATACTTTGCAAGACAAAACAAAATAGTCATACAATTTTCCAATGCAGTGAAAGATGGGCTTTTGTAGCATTTGTTGCTATAGAAGAAATTGCAAAAGAAATAAAGCTACACTACTTCCAAAGATTAACAGGTTAATTGCCCTGAGCTCCTGAAAGAAGTTTAGAGAATTGATTTATCAGAACCATATTGGATCATGTTGATAATCATGAAAAAAGAAATAAAGCAGAAATGGCAGAAGAAATAAGCTACACTACTTCCAAAAACTAACAGGTTAATTGCCCTGAGATCCTAAATTAGGTTAGAGTTGATTTACCAGATCCATATAAAGCCCAACCTGGTTTTATCCTTATCACTTGAAATATTGACCAAGTTCATTACTTTAGAGGCTAAAAATATCATAGATATAGGATCATGTTGATAACCATGTCAAGTTTAGAATCTCCACGTAACTGTAGGGAATCAGTTTACTCCTCAAGGATGTGCAAAAATAAAGGAGAAACCATGAAGAATAATTTCGAAGTGTTAATGGCAAGCTGATACAAGTACTGGAGGAAGTAAAAAGGGGTAGTAGATCACAAATGAATATCTTGAAAGTGGAAAGGAAAAAAAACGCACACAAGGGAGAGGTTACCTGGAAAGCAGAAATTCAGAGAGAACCAAGGAAAGACAGGTTTGCAATAGTTATTTAGCAGAAGGTAGGCTGCACAATCAAAGATTCGATTAACAAACATCATCAATACATTACCACTGTCAATAACAAGAAAAGATATTAAGGGGAAGGAAATATAAATGGATAGCAAAAGCAAGAATTAATTGAAAAAATTTCGTAGTAGTACAGAGGATTACCTAGTAGCTTTAATGGGAAATTAGCCTCTGATTCGCTGCCCATTAATTATAATTTTGGGAACGTCGGAGATCTTGGACCACTCAGAAATGGGGATGGTACTGCTGCTGCTACTCTCTGAATTGCATCTTTCCGTTAGAAGGGGACACATTTCAATCCGCAGCTCTTTTAGTCTGGTGAGGCTTCTCATAGATTGGTGAGAGGGTAAATTCTCTAACTTTGTACAATTGTAAAGGTAGAGTCGTTCAAGTGACGAAAGCTTCCCAAACCAATCAGGCAATGATTTTACTCCAAAACCAGCTAGTTCAAGATACATTAGAGCAGAGAGGTGCTGAAGTTGGTCAGGTAGAGATTCCCAATGAGGCCATCCAACAAGACTCAATTTCCAAAGGAAGGGCAAGTAGGGATGCGGTGGTTGGGGGAGAGCATCAAAGAGGTCTAGGAAGGAATGCAGCTCTGTGGTTTCTGAGAATGGTCCAATCTCTAAGCTTCTCAAGCTTGTAAGAGAACAAAGCTTCCCCTTGGGCAAGTCGGCTAATTTCTTACAGTATGGGATGTCCAGGAAAGAAAGAGAAGGTCTGCGGGTTAAATCAATCGGAAAGGAGATAAGATTGGGGCATCCCCATATTTCCAATTCCTCAAGAGGAGGACGAGGAGGGCAAGTAGAGGAGGATGAAGAACTGGAATCCCACTCTGACTCGTATATTTGCGGGATGGACAAATGGGTTAACTCACTGCACATAAAAATCCTTAATTTTCGCAGGGCATTGAGGTACGGGTGTACCCTAGGAATTGAAATCGACTTTAGTGAGTGGCACCTGCAAACATGTAATTCCTCTAAGGACCCAAGGTCAACCAAATTTTGAGTTGAGCCAACAATATGAGCGTATGGTAGCTCAGTGAACCCATTCATATTATCAATGAAAAGACTCGTGAGAGTCCTGAAACTATTGTAAATGCATGTCACTATACTTGATCCATTGTTGATATGCTCAATGTGCAAGTTCTTGAGACACGGAAAATAACTTGGAAAAGTGGCTATTTGGGGACACCTTTTAATCCTCATCGTGTTAAGGACCGGAAACACCACCACTGCTTCATCATGACCTAATGCTTCCACCCATTCACGCAAATTTAGCATGTTTTCTAGAATGAGATGTTCAAGTGCTGGAAACAATTGACCGCTACTGTCACTATGCACGGTTGATTCACCATAAAAAGAAGGCCCTATGGTTGTTATGTTGTCGAGTCCTTCCAGGTGAAGATATTTGAGGAAGGGCATGTGTCCAACAGTTGGTAACTCCTTGCAGTTTCTACAATTTCGCAGTTCGAACTTAACCAATTTCTCAAGTTTTCCGATCCATGTCGAAAGTTGATCACCAAAAAATCTTTCAATTATCAAACCTTTCAAATTTTGGTGAGGATGCAAGCCTTCCAACACTTGATTGTATTCGCTGTCGTTCTCTCTCAAATTATCTAATTCATTCCACAATAATTTCAACTCATTAATGTTTGACTTTTCAATCAGATTTGCAGACTTGGCTTCTTTCTTGCTTCTCACCAATTCAAGATTCCGTATCTCGAAACTTCCACTGAGATTATCTAAACTCCTCAATTGTCCAATTTGTCGACCCGCATCTTCACCAATATTAAAAAATGGTAATGTTTGGAGAGCATACAACTGTCCGATCTCAAGAGGCATTATATCACTAGATTTATCTCTAGAGAAAAAGTCAAAGTGCCTCAAATTCACCAAATTCTTGAAATTGTTTGGAAAATTTGTCAATGATTTGCAATCTCTAACTCTTAAAGTCTGCAAATTGATAAGCTGACAAAGAGACACTGGTAATGTTTTGATCGGAGTATCTGATGAATCGAGGTACCTTAAATGAGACAACTTGTTAATTGATTCAGGAAGCTCCTCGACATCTGATGAAGCTAAGTTTAGCACCCGCAAGCTAGTCAAAGATGAGATCCAACCATCAATATTAATTGATTTGTTCTCCAATAAAAATAATGTTGTTATGTACCTGAAACTCTTGTTCAGTGGAAATTGTATTTCTTCCCCACCACTGCTCTCCACTGCAAGATATCGAAAAGTCTTGTCAAGAAAATCAGCTTCTATTGAGTCTTTCGAACTTCTGGTTTTTGATCTAGAAATGAATTGCACCATATCCTACACAAGATCATGCATTTTGCAGTTCAATACATTCCCATAATCATCCTTCTCTCCATCTTGAAACAAGTTACTATCCAACAAAATGGAAAAACACTCGTTACCAACTTCCTCCATATACATATCATGTCTTGGATGAAGAAATCCTTCTGCTGCCCAAAGTTGGATTAGTTGATTCCTTTCCATTTGAAAGCCCTTGGGAAAAATTGAACAATACGCAAGACACTTTTTAAGAGATGCATGTGGAAGACGATCGAAGCTCAACTTTAAAATTTCAACAAGCCCAATGTTTTCATCTCCACCTAAACTTTGAAGCCCACTCTCTAAAGTTTGCCATTCGTCTATTCCCTTGTTGCGCAGCATGCGACCAAGAATGCTTGCAGCTAATGGTAAGCCTAGGCATCTTTGCGCAATCTTGAATCCTACATGTTGTAGCCCATTCGGCACCTCCCCAGCGCCAAATGCATTTTCTTTGAGAATGAGCCAACATCGATGATCTGACAATTCTTTCAAGGACCAAAGAGGAGAAGAAATTCCCATGATGCGTGCCACTCCTCGGTCACGAGTGGTCACAAGAATCCAACTCCCCATGGCTTGGCTAGTAATACCTTTCAAACATACAAGAAAATCATGCCATAATGCGGACTTCTTATTCCAAACATCATCCAATACCAGTAGATACTTTTTACCATCCAATAATTTCTTAAACCGATTGACCCTGGCGTCCATACTCTCAACTTCGGGCATTGGTTCTTTCAATAGTGATTCTAGCATCAACCTAAAAAGCCTATCGGCATTGAAATCCTCCGAAACACACACCCACATTCTCAGGTCAAAATGTCTTCCAATATTTGGATCATTGTAAACTTTTTGAGCCAATGCGGTCTTCCCGATCCCGCCCATTCCTACTATGGGAAGAACGGAGATAGTTTCATTGTTATCCGTGGCAGTCAACTGTGCTAGTATTGCTGAAACATCATCATCTCTTCCAACAAAACTCGTATCAATAGTTTCAGGGTCAATCTCTCTGTTCTTTATAAATCTTCCTCCACTAGGAGAGGAGAGAGCACGTTCAAAGTGAAACTGTTCCACGATGCCAAGGGCCATCGCATCTTCATGGATTCTTTCAAAATTCACGTTGATTTCCCGAATTTGTTTTGCCATTTTGCGACCGAATGCAATGGAATTAAAGAGTGAGAAGAAGAAGAAGCATACCTTCCTCTTCGTTTGGTTTTGGATCTCAATCCTGCGCCGATTCATTTCATAGTTGAAGTCATCCAGCAAATTTTCGGCATCGAAAGTGACACGTTCAAGCAGCTCCAGCCAAAGCTTCGCCCACAAGTAAGCCACCTGCTTTTCCTCTGCATCACGAAGGAAAGCCTGGATCATAGTCAACGTGCTCACCAGTCTCGCAAAATCATTCCCGATGCCCGGAAACGGGCCAACATGTGCTGAAGCCAAGTTTATTGCCGTCTCCAGTGCAACATGTACAGTGGGAACAAGCAGTGCATCCGCCATCAGGTCAGGTCACGATATCTGATGAGAGTAAGAAGAGAGACTTGGATTAGTTTTGGGAGTGTGGAATGGAGCCGAACCGGGTGCAATTTGCAAGTTTGAACTTTGAAGGGGAGAAAGAGTAGACTGAATGTAGCAGTAGATGAAATGAAACCAAAAGGAAAATTAATGAAGAAGGAACCCGACAAGCATCACCCACGTCAATGAATGTAGCAGGAGATAAAGCAGTCCAAAAGGAAAATTAAATGAAAAAGGAAGGAAAGGTTCCCGACGAGCATCGCGTTATAGGCAGACAAATGAATTCTTTACTTATTCCGTACTTCTCTGTTCGAAATGCATTGGGATTCTTTGCTTTTATTCGGTTGACACCTACGTACTGTTGATATATATATAAAAAAAAAAATCCAACTTTATTTATTTATTTATTTGCTGAATTTTTCCTCTTTCAGTAACCTTGTAGTATTTCTTATTCCTCATTATGCTTCACTTCACTCACGTCCTTTTTCTTTTCTCATGAAAGCTTTGAAAGCTTTTTGGGTTATAATTATAAAAGTATCAATACTGAGTCAAAAGGTTACTAAAGGGCGGGAACCACAAACCCATACAATGAGGAAGAGTGTGCCCACATCATCCTCCATGTTTTAAAAAAGGGTTAATTACATTTACCTCCCTTGTGCTATAGCCAAAATACAAGTAGACCCCTTTAGATTTGGAAAATAATAGTCACCCTCCTTTGACTAAACATAGATCTAACAAATGAGCCCTTCCCATTAGTTTGTTAACGTCTGTTTGTCCCAAGCCTGCCAAAGAATATTCAGAAGTCCAAGATTACCCCCCTACGTCTTCCCAAAATAAAAGGAAAGGGCAAAAAGAAAAAACAGGATAAATAGATGAAAGAAAAGGGCAACAAAGAAGAGGAAAACAATGAAAAACCCTAAGTCGTTGGTCTGCCTCCATTGTTTGTTATTCCAGAAACCATCGCTACTTTTGCATGTGTATTCACCATTCCTTTTTCTTAATATATCAACCCAAAGGAAAGAGCAACAACATCTTTCAAGTCTTGAATATGATGACTAGTATTTGAAGATAGGTAGGTATAAATTTGTGTTTAGCGATAAAAGATGAGAGATTTGTGGGTTGGTTTGATTGGCTGTCCTGAATATGATGGCTAGTATTTGATGGTTTATAGCTTCTTTTTTTTTCATCCTTCTAGTTTCTTCTCATTTAAGGGGTATGTTTGTCCATACATGTAGAATTTTAATGACATTTAGCAAGTGTCACGTCAAAGGGGCTGACTGTTATTTTTCATACCTAGGGGGTCTATTTGTACTTTGGCCAAAGGACAAGGGAGGTAGATGTAATTAACCCTTTAAAAAATTTGGACACTGACTGGAATTTCCAATTGGCCCCACACATCTATGTCACACAGCCAAGTTACAAAGGTTAAAAACGGAAGTTAGACTCAATTTTTTGAGTTTTTTCAAAGTTTTATATAACTCCGAAACTTACTGTTTCTTTTAATTTCACCATTTTTATAAAGGAATATTAACATGCTGTTTCTTATCATATTTAACCATTTTTAGGTACCTACAACTATGCTGTCATGCTTTCCATAATTGTTTCTTTATTTTTCATAATTTTATTGTGTCATTCATTGACAATACTTTTCATAATTCTCATAAACATTTTGTATTTTATTACTTTTTAACTATTACAAGTCAAAATTTGATAAAAGCTTCGCCTGCATTTTCATGGAAATAAAACGTCTCTTACAACTCTTTAACCTTTCGAACCACTGCTTCAAATTATTGGGAGTTGAGAGAAGTAAAAGGAAATGATCTTGGCATTTTTACAAGAGTGCCCTTACCTTACATTAAAAATGTCTTTTAAAGTAGGTAATTAATTGTAGCAAAACTGAACACTTTTAGTTTGTTTGTTGTATGAGTCAATATGAACGTAAAATAATAATTGACTCTTTTAGAAAGATATGCATCATAATCTCTCATCCTGCTCGTCCAAGATTGGGAGATGTTATTGAAGAGGGATAATCTTAAAAGATTATTGAAATCCTATATGATTCAAATAATCAAGTAAGAGATCAAGAATAATTTATTGTGCCACGCATTCTACCCACTCTTGTTTGATTAAGAATCAAGTGATGAATTTTATCTAATCTAAGTATATATATAGCACAATCAAGTATCTTGTAAACAACTAATACATGTGAAATTATAAATTTAATTCATCAGCAATTGTGGAAATTGATAAGACAAAAATGGAATTCCTTCCTACACCCCAAGTCAATGTGCCTATAATATGAAGAAACTATCAATGAAATAGAAGATTAACTGGTCTTGGAGCAAAAAGATGGGAAGGAACAACTTCTCTGTTTTGTCTCCAGCAGTGTCGGAGACGCTGTTATGAAGGGAAGGAAGTGAGATGAATTTTTGATTTGGTGGGTTTCACAGGGAAGCTAGAAATCACGGGGAATTTAGTTTTTCCCTAGGAGCTTTTTAAGGGTAAAGCTGTCATATTGTAAAAGTAAACTTAAGCTTTCTCCTTTTCGTACCATTTCAGCCGAATTTCGGGTGGAAAATATTTTGGCTTTAGGAAGGAAACGAAATCCGTTCAATTCTTTCGTTAACTTTCCCACTGTTTATTTCAAACGACAGAAATTAAAAAGTCGACGACCAAAACCTTTTGTTTTTTTGACCGTTTCTTGCCTCCCAAATGCAGTATTAGTTTTTGGAAAAATGATCAGTTTCATCTTTCACATTTCACAAAAATATTCTTTTTATCCCTTGCTTTTAAAACGAAACAATTTCATCCTTGACATTTAAAAACTGAAATTCTTATGTCCCTGAACCCAAGTTTCAATCTGAATCAAACCATCAATCAACCTGATTATAAATTTTGAGAGTGTAATTGGTAGATCATTTGGTTAATTCAACTTGATATTCATGTAAAATTTAATGAACCAAAAAAGAAAAAAAATTATAACATAAAAATGAAAGATTAATCTTTCCTACATTATCATTGTATACACTGACGGTTTTATGTACCGCCATATCATTTCAATTTAAATTTAAACAACAAATTTTATATTTATGATACACATCTAGATTCGCAAGCGGATATACTAACGGTGTATAAAAAGATTTACAAAAAAAAATCCCACTATTCCAAGACAAAGAATGGCCTTTTATGTTATAATTTTTATTTTTTTTGGTTTAATAAATGCCATGTGAATATGATGAAATTGACCGAGTGATCTATTAATTCTATTTCCAAAATTTATTACTGTGCTATTGAATGGTTTGATTCAGATTGAAAATTAGGTTCAGGGATGTAATAGTTTTAATTTTTAAATGTCAGGGATGAATTTGCTTTATTTTAAAAGTGAGGGATGAAAAGAATATTTTTGCTAAATGTGAAGGATGAAACAGGTCATTTTCCCTTAGTTTTTTCCCAAAGAAAGAAAAGAAAAATGTTTTGTTGTTGAAAACAAATTTATTTTGTCTTAGAATTAATTTCTCTAAATTTCACAATAGCCTTAAAAGAAATTTTAGAAGTCAACATTTAATTAGCATTTTTACAAAATAATAAATTTAATATCTATGATGATTTAAGACAATAGCTTACTAGGTTGACAGGTGTCGAACCTGTACAATAATAAATACCTATTCAAATAAAATACAAATTTTGTATATAGTGATGAGTAAGATCAAATCCATAGAAATTAGAGATAATTCATTTCTTCCAGAGTACAAAGTAAGGGGGATTTTTATGTAATTGAGAATTAGTAAACAACTTAGATAAATTAAATAAAATAAAAACTAAATTATAATTTAGCAAAATTAAATCAATAATGAATAATCCCTGTCCAAAAAATAATTTCGGAGATGGTTCACTCAATTGATAATCGATGCAATGATATTTTCATTTACTTACTGATAAACAAGTTATAACGGCTAAACAAGCGATGGCAATCAACTTGTCTTTATTGTATCGGTAATCAATGTACGACAGTTAATCACTTCCCTAATCAAGAAATAACCTTAGGTACGATCGTAGAGTTCAATTTTCCAATTGCCTTATGAATTAAAGAAACTTTGTTCTAACCAAATAATACACTGTAAGAGTTATTTAAAATTAGCTCATATGTTCCTTTGACACAAACCCAATCATGTCAATCACAACTAATTTAAAATAATTAAATAATTACTGATTTAATTGATCTAATTAGTTTATGTTATTAGATTAAATTAAATATCAGGCCCTTGATATTTAAATAACATAATAACCATAAGAATATCAGCAAATAAAAGAAATAAATATAATTAATTCAATCTCATAATTTTAAATCTCATAAATATAATTAATTCAATCTCATAATTTTAAATGAAACAAATCCTCTATTATTACTTAACTGGAATGAACCGTTTACGTGTCCATTCGTTTGAAAAGGTACCTATTCATGAAGAAATACGTATCCAAAAGACATGACATTTCTTTTGGGGCATCTGAACGCTATAAATAATAGCGTCCAGATAACAGAGGACTCACTTTACTTTTACTTTTATTCTTCTTCTATTTTCGTTCAAAGCAATATTCTCTAAATCGTCTTGGGAGAGTTTCTGCATACTACTGTGTGGAAATTTTGATTGGCTTTGTTATTCCTAGAGGGAATTGCTGCAAACCCGGTAGTAGAATAGTGGGGGCAAATTTCCTTAAGGAAAGTGAATTTTCACGTCAAAGCCGTATTTTGTTGTTGCAGTTATTACTAATTTTCCTAACAATCTTAAGGAAATTTCCGTCAACATGGAGGGCACCAGTTCGGATAATCTTCTGAACAAAATTTTCAAGTCTGATATGATCAAGTTGGATCGATTTGATGGCACCAATTTCAGCCGCTGGAAAGACAAGTTGTTGTTTCTTCTTATGGAACTGGGCGTTGCATATCTGTTGGCTGATAATCTGCCAAAGATCCCTGAACCATCTGA